GCCTGCGATGGTATGGACACGTGCTCCGCAGCAAGGACACATCAATGGCAAAGACTGCCGTGGAATTGAAGGTGGAAGGCCGCCGGCCCCATGGACGACCATTTACGCGCTGGCTGGATCGGCTGAAAGACGACATGCGCCTCGCAAAAGTCACCTGCCGAGACGCCGCAGACCATACGAAGTGGAAAAATCGGTGCAAACAAGCAGACCCCACATAAGTGGGAAAATGCGAAGAAGAAGAAGAATCTAGGTTGGAAAAAGTATGTAAAAGTATGTGAACTTCTAGGCTAATGACTTCTCCAAAAGCTAGTCAGGAGTCAGGTGTTGCAATCAATGAGATGAGATTGGAGGTGTGGGTTGGAGGTGCCCTGCCCTATAAAAAAAGGCACACAAAGGTTACTGACGGAGTCTTCTCTTCTCAAGAAAGAGCTGTTCATGTGAACCATGCCCTGATCAAAATAAATATCAGAGGACCTTAGAAGAAGAATTGTAGAGATGCAAGCTGGAAAAGGCTACAAAAGGATTTCTATAGGCCTGGGTGTTCATCAATGCACAGTAAGACGAGTTGTCTACAAATCGAGGAAATTCAGTGCTGTTGCTACTCTCCCTTGGAGTGAGTGTCATGCAAAGATCAGGGCAAGAGCGTCTCTGTTCATGTGTCCACTATAAGAACAACACTGAACCATAATGGTGTTAATGGAAGGACACCACAGAGGAAACCACTACTCTCCAAAAAAAACATTGCTGCACATCTCAAGTTTGCAAAAGACCACCTGGATGTTCCACAATGCTTCTGGGACAATTTTGTGTGGACGGAAGTGACAAAAGTTGAGGTCTTTGGCAGAAACGCGCAACGCTATGTTTGGAGGAATAAAAGCACTGCACACCAACACCAAAACCTTATCCCAACTGTGAAGCATGGTGGAGGGAGCAGCATGGTTTGGGGCCTGGACAGCTTGCTATCATAGAGGGAACAATGAATTCATAATTGTATCGAGAAATTTTACAAGAGAATGTCAGGGCAGTGGTCCGTCACCTGAAGCTTAATAGAAGTTGGGTGATGCTACAAGACAATGACCCCAAACACAGGAGTAAATAAACAACAGAATGGCTTAAACAGATGAAAATTTGTGTTCTGGAATGGCCAGGTCAGGGTCCAGACCTCAACCCAATTGAGATGCTGTGGCATGACCTGAAGAGAGCTGTTCAGGCAAGGAACCCCAGAAATATCAATGAACTGACACAGTTTTGGAAGGAGGAATGGTCTAAAATTCCTCCTAACCATTGTGTAAGTCTCATCAGCAGCTCCAGGAAACGTTTGGTGGAGGTTATTGCAGCTAAAGGAGGTTCTACCAGTTACTAAATACAAGGGTTCACATACTTTTTCCAGCCTGGACTGTTTAAATTATGCGTTTAATATTGACAAGAAGAAGTACAATTGGTTGTGTGTTATTAGTTTAAGCAGATTGTGTTTATCTATTATTGTGACTTAGTTGAAGATCAGACCACGTTTTTATGAGTAATTAATGCAGAAGTCCCGGAAATTCCAAAGGGTTCACAAACGTTTTCTTGCAACTGTATGATTGTGTTGCCTTTTGTTATTGAATTGACTTAACTATATTTTAAAAAGAACAGAGATTGTTGTAGTGCAGTGGTTCTCAAACTGTGGTACGCGTACCGGCAGTGGTACGTGGAGTGCCGCCAAGTGGTACGCCAAATGACCCTGGAACTGTGTCGTGTGCGCTGAAAAAATCAGGACGGGTTTTCATATTTTGTATTTTAATACGTGTCAAATACGCAGCCTATGTACTACGATACAGTGCGCGCTGATACTTCAGTGGACACAAGAGATACTCTGTAATTCTATAGATGCCAGTGAGCAAGTAGAGCTAAACTGGAATCTAGAAGACGCAGCAACTGCTAATTGCATTTTGAAAGGAGGTATGTCTGTAAAATCAGTTCCAAAAATGTAAATTTCTACAAATGAAGATGCGATAGAAAAATTGTGCCAGTAATTTTTGGTATGTATAGTCGTTTGAAATACATAGAAATCAAATACACCCCATCATAGCAAAGGCGCTTGACACCCCTGCCTTACTGCTTTCTGAAACGGTCAGGTAGCTTTTAACAGATGCTGTGGGTTCCTGCTTTCCTGAGGACAAAGGCCTGTCTGAGGAGTTTTCCATTAGAACAGCCTGCTGCTTTGTGTTGCACGCGGATCTTGGACTTGTTGTGTGAGAATCAATACAGTAAGGAGCTCAATATCTTATCATTCATCGTTGTTTGAAATTCATCTGATGTGGTAAAAAAATAGCGGTTGGCATACCTTAGCCACAAGAATAGGTCTTGTCACTGTTTATGTGACTTTGTCCAGTTCCTGCTCTTTGAGGGGTAACATAGCAGGGCCTGGGCAGACTTCATCCCAGCACTTGAGTAAGAATTCTTCCTGGCAGTCAATAAGCTAATCTAATTTCAGACAAGAGAGGCAGCAGCTCTTCTGAGTCGTCCGTACTGAGACACAAATTACTTTACCTAGTGCAATCTGCAGGGACATTGCTTTGAGGTCAGTGTTACAAGTGAGTTTTGGTGCTTAGCAGTGGGCTAACTATATCGGAGATCTTGATCTTCTACCAGGGGGATGTTTCAGTAATTATCCTGCTCCTCATCAGCCCGGTGTCGATGAGCGTTTTCCCAGAGGAGTAATCAGACCTGCTGGACACAGCGGCTTGCTCTGTTTGCAAGCCCTGCTCAGGACATTGAAGACCTGCCGGACAACAGGGGTTGTGTGTATTTGTAGGTCATTAATAATCTCTGTATGGCACAGTTACTGACCTTAAAATGAACTTAATACTAACATTCTTCCAATTATTGGTACTTAAGATACCAGAGAGATATTGCTGGATTAATTGTCCAGTTAAGCTGTTGTTTACTATAGCAGTTTAAACATTAATGAAGCCTTTCTGAAATGCAACATCATATATTCTAGGATGAATCGACTGGTTCAACTGTAAGACAACTTAAATGGGCTGTAGACCATAACTAGCATATATATTACCAAGAAAATGTATACATCTATAAATTATTTAAATGTAACCTATTGAGGCTGGAGGTGCAAAAGAACAGGTTTAATGGAAAGATAACATCAGATTAAAGGGTCTCATTTTGAAGTAGGCTTGTTTCCAGTTTGTATGGATATGACCAATTCTTCCTTTCTGCTGTTATTTTATTTCTCTCTCGGATCTCTCTCAGGTGCTCTATGGCAAACCCTCAGGACCTCCTGGTCTTATTTGTGACAAATCTCAAAACCTATTAAAATGTCTTCTCTATTTTGAAAAGAAAAAAGTGCATTTTTCGCTTTTCACTCCATAATACTTTGTGCTTTTAAACATGATTGAAAGTGGATAGTGTTGGCTTAATGCTTAAAATCAAGATTTTAAGTGTAATCTCACACAAATAGGAAAGTGAGTCTTCTCTGTACACTAGCACTGTTTTCACAACACTGGACAATGGCCTAGTGTTTTTGTTTCTGTTGTACGTCGGGAAAGAAACTGCTCAACATTGGTGACTATTTTAGAAATATAAACAATTTCTGGTTACTGCTGCTACAGTGGGGTTGCTTTTGGATTTTAAAAGTTTATCATAAATTCTTTGGAAATGACAGTGACAGCTGTTTCAGGATGTTGGGTCTGTTCACCCTGTTTGCATGCAGGTGATGTTGGAAATCACTATCAATAGGATTAAAATGCCTGACACACCTGTAAGCAAATGTACTGTACATGTTCCATAATAAATTAGTCTAGTCATAGGTTGGGCACTACATATAGCAAAGATCGAGTAACATTGTGCAGTAATTTAATAAAATATCACTGTAATTCATGTAATCATCAGTCTGTACTTTTCTACACACCTCTCACCAGTAGGGAGTTTACTTTTTCATCTGTGTTAATGCAGCACAAAACATTGCTGAAGCACAATTAGGTCGCAAAAGTCTCGCTGCTCTTCCTTGAAAGACAATATTCTCCATGGATGTTTAGGCAGCTCTTGTGTTTATGCTTCTTGCGTTTTTCTTAGACCCCTCGGTGTTGATGCAGAGGCAGTCATGGTGGTATTTCTGTACACTAAAGCAATTTAACCACGGTTCCTTTTTAAGATTAGTAATAATAATTATTTGCACTTCTATAGTGTTTTTCATCCCAAAGGATCCCAGATCACTTTCTGTACAGGAGGAGGCTTATTTCATGCACCGCTGAAGTGCATGAAGTACCGAGAAATTGCTTTGCCAGTTGGATTAAGGGAAATTTAAGGAAGCTGGATTGTATGAGCTCAGAGTGGAATTTAGCCTGAACACAGTAATTAACACCCCTTCTTTTTCAAAATGTGCCGTGGGGTCTTTAATGACCACATAGTAAGATCCTTGTTTTGATGTCGCATTTTAAGGCTGACAGCTGGACAGTGTTTTTCTTCTCCTTTCAGAATGGAATAAACCTTAACTTATTCATTAGTAAACCATAAATATTTACATTTAACAACCTTGCTACATAACGTTACTTGATTTTATCTAAAAAATGTTAAATGTTTATGTTTAGATACATTTTAGTGTAATTCTAATTTATTATTTGTTATATTTATCTGGGTAAATGTATAGTACAATATATATATTTAATGTTAAAATATATACTAAATTAAAACAATGTATTATGAACGCAGTCAGCAGTTAGATATATTTTATGGCATCATATTTAAAAATTCTTAGTAGGTGATGAGTTTGATATCATACAAACTTGGGAAAATACTGCACTGCAATTGTTAAAATAAACAATACAAGCAGGAGGGTAAGCAGAAAAAGTTTGGTCAAGTGATTCTAAGTGTTTTTAGCTACAGTATACAGAACCACTTTTATATTTTCTGTTTCACTCATGAAGAAATATCACTTAAACTTATTTGAATGAGGCGGTGTGATTCAATCTGTGTTTAAGCTGTCCTTTCCCCCCTGTTCACAGATGATGAAGTTTGCCTGGGACAGTTACAGACGTTATGCCTGGGGATCAAATGAGTTAAAGCCGAGCTCAAAACAAGGACATTCCAGTAATTTGTTTGGTAAGTTACTTTTTCTTTTGTTCTTCCAACTGCTTGAGAATGTGAGCAGCCACTCCAAGAACGTAATTCACAAAGAACACTGTTAAGTACTGAGTCACCTGGGGCGACAGAATGTTTGCATCCTCTAATATCCAGATCTTGCAATCTGTTAAAAAGATAACATTGTACTGATTAGAAGATCTAAGCAGACAGATTTTTTTTTTCTGGGGACAGTCTGTGTAAGTTTCGTATTAATTTGTTCTTACTCATTACAGTTTCTGAAAATCAAAATGTGGTTCACAGTAAAATGAAAACTGCTTCGGCAAAAGCCTGCAATCCCAGCCATAATTGTCCCCGTTTGCCAGATTCCTTATCACTGTGCCTGGTGGGGCTGGATCTGTGACCCTAGAGTAATGCAACAGAAGTCTGGTGTGTGCAAAATCACACAAGAATGGTCCTCTAAAAATGTTGCTTCCCTGTCTTTTCATCCGGAGTGACAGCAGGTGGAATGCAGTCACTGCAGATTGTGAACCTCACCTGTTCTGGAGCTGCAGGTTAGAGCATGTGGTCCCCATGGACTCGGACACCTTTAATTACTTTTTTCTTTTGGTCGCCATATTGGGGTGTAATACATATTTCACTTAATACATTTTAACTTTTATTTCCCCCCCAGACACAAAAGTATAGGCCACAGTGATTTATACAGCATTCCGGTGTTTTTTTTTTACTCGCAATGTCGTTGTGGCCTATCCATTCGTTTTCCAAGCTAATGATCTACTTACTCATTTCGTGCTCTGCTAGGCCTTTGCTGGCCCTGCGAAGCGCGTAGTTGACTTTAAAGGATCACGCTGAGAGCCAGGGATTTTCGCATTGCTTCGACATAGCTCTGCCGCTGCGCAGCACGCGAACAAATTGTTTTGTTTTCTTCTTTCGGTGCTGTCTCTTTTTATGTGTTCAAGATTCATGTATTCTTCTTTCATTGTAAATGACAGAGCTAAATTCAATTCAGAGTTGTAGATTGAGGGATTTTAATACCGTATTTCAGAAAAAGCAAAGGTTTATTGCGAGGGGTGTCATGAGTGAATCACCTCTTGACAATGATTGACATTTAATGAAACCCGTCGCAGTTTTTAGTAGCTGCCTTCCGTAAAGATTTCTGAGCATTTCAGGAATATTTCCTCAAATACAAATGGGTGTTTTTCAGAGTCCACTACCTTTTTGTAAAAATATAAACTTTGAACATTTTTAGATGGAATGCAAACCTAAAATATCATTAAATGGGAATTTCCTTGCACAGCACATATTAAAACCATAAATTATTCCAAACTGCAGTTTAGAATTTATATAATTTGTGATCATGTTCAAGTAGGGAGCTGTGTCAGCATGTGTAGGCTGCAAAGGAACAAGTATAGGTTTAGTCCACGTTGAAAAGGGAAGAAAAGAAACAGCATTTAGGGTGTCAACGCGAAGAAGGCTCCACAGCCAAAATGTTGTGTTTCTTTTCTTCTCTTTTCAGCCTGGAATAAACCTTTACTTGTTCCTTTGCATGATAATTGTATGTTGTTAAACGTCTCCATAAAACCACAGTGTCAGTTTCACAGATGAGTCCACTTGGTTTATCTTCATAAAGCATCTGCTGTGGCACGTGAGGCATTGGAAGAGTTGTGAGTTTATCAGGATATTTTGGATCATATTATTGATGTCTATTATTTCAATGACTTCATATAATCTGGATTGCAGTTGATTTCCCCTTTAATAAATAGTACAACGCTTTTTTCAAAAAACAGATATGAAAGATTTCCATAAGTGATGGAAGTGCAATTCTTCAAAATCCTTTTTTTGTCTATGATCCTTCGATGTTGGCTGTTCCTAACGTTGTGAAGCAGAATTCACTAAACATTGAATTGCTCACCCACTAGTAGGGAACATGAAGCAAGCTGTTTGACTGCTCAGTATGACAGGAACAGCAAGATCAGACATTGGGCTTCTGTGCTTGGCTGAGGAACCACAAGTACCAAGATACCAAAATACCAAATGTGTCATTGTGATGAGTGCATCTAAGTCAGAATCCCCTCAAAAAGGTGCTCCTTTTTCAGTCAAGATACCAGTCAATACTTCAGGGTTCAATAACAAACTATTTACTGTAATACAGTGCATGAGGAATAATAGGTCCTTAAAATATGCATTTGAAACTTTTGTTCAAATGAAAACTTGAGTGAATCATGGTGCTTTATTTCTGCATTGTGGATTAGTTACACAGTTTCACCTTAAGCCTTTATATTTTGTGTCCTTGTAAAATGTGTAAGTCTTACCTGATGTACCAACCACCTGATGTACCTCTGCTATACTCTGAGCCCTGTGAATGCTTCAGTGGAGAGAAAGGATGAGATTAGACTCCAGCCTGAGCTCTGGAGGGCCTTTTTCATTGCAGCTCAGCTCTTAGCAAGCCCGCTGAACTAGTTATTGGCTTAAATGGAGCAGTTTCATAAGTTGTCCCAGCTCTTATGGTGCTGCTGGTTTAAAGATACTTATAAAACAAGTTAATCGGCTCTCCTATACTGGAGGTGAGCAGCAGCCCTTGTTTAATTTATTTTTTTTTTATAAGTTTACTACCATCTCTCTTTACCTGTGTTTCAGTTTTCATGACATCTAGGAACATATACAGTGGAATGTTTTTTTTATCGAGTAGCACAGGCCAGTAGGAAGCAACACAATGACGATTTTCATAACCAGTTTCTCCTTTGGTGAGAATACATACGGCAGCTGCTGCGTTTTTATAAATAATGTTTTTTAAAATCTGTTCAGGATATACTTTTTGGAGAAGCTATATCACAACATCTTGAGGATTATTGCACATTAACGTTTTAGTGTAAATTTACATTTCCTGAACGCCAATGAATAACATATAATTAATAGAAAAAAGATTAGGCTTTTTATTAACCATGATAGAATAAATTGGAGTTCTAAAATGTACAGCATATGCTTCTGAATTTAATGAGATATTGAATAATGGTTTATTATATAATAACTTCATTGAGGATTTTTGTAGCCTATGTATAATACCCAGAAAAGCTATTTTTATGTAATTTTGTTTTCCTAATAGCTGGGACTGCTGCTGTTTCCTTTTTCCTGTAAAGGAAATCCAAATGAACTAGTGATTTCTGTCAAAATATATGTCACATGCTTACTTTTAACAGCAGGAAACTTCTTTCACTAGCAGTCATGGGCCTTTAGGCTTAGACTTTAAACAACGGCAGTTCACTTTGTGCCCTGAAGAAACGAAAAGTCACCACCTTCCAGGGCAGCAGGATAGCCATGCAATAGAATAAGTGTCATGGCATAGTGACTACCAAGCCACCTGATTACAACCACAGACACCCTTTGTTTAGCCATCCCTGCCCCCTGCAGCTAGCTGATCTTAAAGTTGAAGTGCAAGATCACTATAACCAGCAGGTAAGGCAGAAATGTCATTCTGCTTCATGGCACTTTTGTTCAAATGAAAAAAGCCATGTTCCCTGACAGGTGTGAAATAGTGTTCACAACCTCTTCAGTTTTGCCCTGTTCACAGCTGTTTTCAGAATTGCACTAAATTTTATCCAGCCATTATCAGATAGCTGCCTGTTCCTGGTAAAGGTCGCTGCGACCTGGAGACCATCTTGGACACAGCTGGGGCGGTTTGCCAGTCCATTAAAAAAGCTACACACACACACACACACACAGGGACAATCTGTCCGTCTTTGGGAGTCTGAAGGAAAACCGTGCGCTGACGCAGGAAAGACATACAGCTCCTCGCAGGAGGTTATGTGTCTGGAATCAGACCCACGATCCCGGACTGCTGTGCTGCTGTGTAGAGCTTCAGTGGTGTGGAAAAGTAGTTGCTTGTTTCCAGGCCTGTAGTTCCTAGCTGTGTATATTCCTCCACCTACTGTGGGAAATGTTGTAGTAGCAATTACACCTTGTTATTGCTCATCCAGTCCCTTAGAAATATCTCACACTGTAATTTCTATGTAGTACTGCATTACAGTGAGTTGGTCGTTTGGAGGCTGGGGGTTGAGCTGCGTGTGAAAAGCGTGTTGGTTGAGTCTCGTGTTGAAAGAGGTTTGCAGACGTGCCAGGCACGGCTGCTCTCTGTTAGTTTGTCAACATATATCGATCCAGCAGTTTACTGCAAAGTCGTTAACTGTAGTAAATCTTAAATGTTCACAGGTGTTTAGTTTTCATCAGGCGCCGGCTTTTTTATTTATTGTAGTTATATACCAGCTCTGTGTGCAATCGGCAGATGTGCGTTTTCACGGCTCGGGCTCCCAGCGGCGAGGAGAATAAGGGACCAGGCCGATTTCTGGGTCCCGGGTCTCAAGCATGCCAGTCGTGCACAGGAGGTTCAGAGCGAGCAGACTTGTGCCTGCAGGACCCTGGTCTGCTGGGGTCCTGCTGGGGGTCTGCTGGGGTCCTGCCAGGAGTCTTGCTAATTGTTTGAAATGTGTAGTTTGTGATAAAGCTTGTGTGGCTTTCTTTCATTATCTGTTATTACAAATTCAATATCATTTAAAATTTCTTCAGAGAAGATCATTGAGACTGTTATGCTTTCTTATGAAACTGCTGTTTTCATTGGGCATTAATAAATCAGCCAGAATAGTGCACAGCAGTTTGGCAGAAATATCTTTTTTGTACGTGCCATAATTCCAGAATGAATTTCCATTGACTGTTTTTCAAAAGTAATCAGCAAGATTCTTTCAATCTACAGAACTGCAATAAAAGGAATGTACATTAAGTTATAAATCTGTCACTTAACCATATACTCCTGCTAATTATACATTCCTTATTTATCAAAATGTCACAGCTTGCGATATTTCTGGTTCATAATTAGTGAAGCTTATTTAAAATGGTGGAAAAGAGCAACCTTCTTTATATTGGGATTGAGAAGTAGCTGAAGGAGCTTGATTATGAAGGGCAAAATCAAATTTATGAAGCACTAAAGAAAATATTATCCCTTAATTCTGTCAATTGTAGTTTCATAGTCT